TTTTTTATATATATATATATATATATATATATATATATATATATATATATATATATATATGATGCACATCTATTTTACTGCATATGATGTACGTATATTTTATTGCAATTGACGTATTGGAAAGGGGTAGTATCTCTTGGAAGAGCAGGAAACCCAAGACAAAATCCTCAGGTCCTGCAACTGCTACCCCTGACCAGTTCTGATGGTGAGATACTCAGACAGGGCATCCTGGGTAGACAGCAACTCCTGCTAAGGGATGCTTCCCATTTCCTACAAAATAGGTTCCTGGTGGAAAAACACACACAGAGAGCATTTTCTCCCCGCTGGCCTCCAGCCCTCCTTAAAACAAAACTTCAAAGACCTTAGACCCCTCTCTCTTCCCCTCCTTAGAAGAAGCAGCAGAGATGTTAATTCTCCAGCTCCTGTCGACTGTCAGCTGAGCCAGTGGTCAGAATGGACTGATTGCTTTCCTTGCCAAGAGAAAAAAGTAAGACTCCACTGTAATGTATTCATTTATCTTCAGATGTGTCTGTGATGAGGATGTGCACACATTAATTATATATATTATACATATTCATCATTCTGAAGCATCCAGTAAACTCATCCAAATATGATGGAGCTGCTCTTCTGCTAGAGAGGCTCTTACCCTGGTGTAAACTGGGGAATAAATTCGTTTAATGCAGCAGAACAGCAAAATGAAAAAGCAAGGAAAATAGTGGAAGGATCAGGCCAGAATATTTGCCCAAGACTTTCTCCTTTTTCTATCTCAGATTTAATTAACTATCCCCTGATTCTTAATGCAAATATTCCAAGGAAAAGACATTAGAAGCAGCCTTCATTCATCACCTCCTGTTCTCAAATTTTTATATCATTTCACATATGTCTTCATAATTCAAGAATTTATTTTCAAATACCTGGCATAATTTTGCTTTCTATTAAGTTTATATCCCTGCATTTTTTGTTCCTGTGCTTAAAGTCAGTAAATGATTTGGCTCTTCTCTCTTTACCTTTTCTTTTTTTTTTTTTCCTTCCTAGTTTAAAGAGCAGCAATTCTCATTAATAATCCATCAGAAATGTTGCAGGATCAGTGTTGTAATTAGTGTCTGTGTCCATCTGAGCCTGTTACATTCCAGGACAAAGCATGTGCAACTGGAAAAATTCCATACTATTTCCAAGGTATAAAACAGAGAAGAGATTTTTAAAATCAGTCATTCCAGCCCCCGTTAAATTCTCTTCTGTGAACTCCAGGCAAATCTCCTGAAGCCCCACCTCCCTGCTGACTCTCCTTCTCCATTTATTATGTACAAAATCTTTGGGCCATTCAAAAAAATAATAATATAGATGAAAGTGATAGTTTTAATTGCTTTATAGCCTGTCGAGGTGACGCCTCTGGTGGACACAAGTTAGGTGTTGGTGGTATTTTTCTCTCGTGCGGTTCAGCACCGGTACCGGAGGCTGGTGCAGCCGGCGGTGTTCGCGGGGCAGCGATGTGCAGGGCACCTCTGGGGAGAGCAAGCTTGTCGTGCTGAGACAACGTGCACTGGACCCCCTGACTGTGGGAAGGACTTTCGGTGCGAGGAAACAGGTGAGTGAACCAGGCACAAAGTCCTGCCAAAGTTATTCTGGTCCTGGGTGGACGGGGTGGTATCAGTCCCCTGCCACAGGCAGAGGTTTGTCAGAATCACAGAATCCTCTAGGTTGGAAAGGACCTTGAAGATCATCCAGTCCAACCGTTCACCTAGCACTGACAGTTCCCAACTACACCAGATCCTCAAGCGCTAAATCGACCCGACTCTTGAACCCCTCCAGGGGTGGGGACTCCACCACCTCCCTGGGCAGCCCATTCCAACGCCCAACAGCCCCTTCTGCACAGAAATCCTTCCTCAGAGCCAGCCTGACCCTGCCCTGGGCAGCTTGAGGCCATTCCCTCGGGGCCTGGCGCTGGGGCCTTGGCTCCAGAGACTCATCCCCCCTCTCTGCCCCCTCCTGGCAGGGAGTTGCAGAGGGCCAGGAGGTCTCCCCTCAGCCTCCTCTTCTCCAGACTGAACCCCCCCAGTTCCCCCAGCCGCTCCCCAGCAGACCTGTGCTCCAGACCCTGCCCCAGCTCCGTTGCCCTTCTCTGGCCACGCTCGAGTCATTCAATGGCCTTTTTGGGGTGAGGGGCCCAAAACTGAACCCACTCATCGAGGGGCGGCCTCCCCAGTGCCGAGCCCAGGGCTCAGATCCCTTCCCTGTCCCTGCTGGCCACACCAGTGCTGACACAACCCAGGATGCCATTGGCCTTCTTGGCCACCTGGGCACACTGCTGGCTCCTGTTCAGCCGGCTGTCAATCACCCCCCAGGTCCCTCTCTGACTGGCAGCCAGCAGGATGGTGAACTGGTGCAAGAGAAAGCAGGAAATTTCCCCATCTTTGCTTTTTTCCCCACTATTACAGAAATCCATCCACGTTACACTTAAGATAGAAAAGAAGGCTGTGTGACATGGAAAAGGTTAATTTTTCAGTGGAACAAAGAGAGTAGAAATATTCTGCTCCAACTGCTGTGCTACACACTCACACTCCCCTCCATGGGCACCACCGCTCCCACAACGCACCACTCTCTCCCCCTGCAAAAGACATAGTTCAATCAGGAATCCAACTAGCAATCTGTTGGGGTGATTTATTTATTTTTAGCCATCCCCAGCTCTGATGATTGGAATATAATACGGCTGTTCTCTGAAAGTTTGACTAGCCTTGACAGATTTTTGTTTTTACACAAATGGCTCAAACTCCCATCTTGAGCATTTAATGAAAATCCCGTTGAAATCTGGAAATACTGTCACCAGGTCTTCATCTCTCCATTGAGGCAAGCGCAGGAGTACCAGTTCCCTCCTGTCATGAATGTCATGTTAAGGGCTTTTCCTCACTTCCCAGAAGCAAAAGCACTTTCAAGTCGCCCTTCCTGCAACTTGAAATCATGGCAATTGCCATAATTATTGCAATAAACTCCCCAAATACCTCCTGCAATGGGAAGAGGCAAAATTGCACTTTAACCCGACAGAGCTGACTTCCCCAAGCCAAGTGGAGAAGCAATTGCTTCCTGTGGCTCCCTTCCAAAAGCATGATTATAGGTAATAAAATCAGGCCAGTGAGATGACCTCTACTTGATTCCCATCCCATGGGAGCCCAAGGGAGCGGCCGTCTTGGACTCTGAGTTGTGCTAGCTCCAGGTTGCAAAGGAAAATCTCCACCACAAGGAGCTGGGAAAAGCAAGTTCCCAATGGAAGAGTGCTGTGTTTAACACCCAGCGTGACTTCTTGTGGGCCTGAGATATGGGTGGAAAACAACACGATCATTGTGAGCTGACAGGTGTTCTGAAGGGCGGGTAGGTGAGTGCTTGTACCTGCGCATTGTAGGTCGCTGTATTAAACGGCATCTTGTGTGCAACGGAGAGTCAGACTGCAGAGATGGGTCTGATGAGGAGAACTGTGAGGATGAAGATATTGAAAGCCCGTGTGAACATCTGTTCCCAATCCCAGGGTCTGAAAAAGCTGCCCAAGGGTGAGTAATTAATCAATAGCTGCTACTCTCAGAATCAAAACTGGATTCAGGATTTCATATTGCTCTTCCTTAGTGATAGCAGTGCTCCATGAATTGATAGGGTGCTGTACAAACCCCAAGGAGAGCTGCTGTCCCACCCGACCATCGGTAGCAATGAGGGAGGCGGGCAGGAGGATTCTTCCCAGCTTTTATTTCAAATTCTGTCTTGAATTTACTATCTGACCTTGGTCTCTCTCAGCCACTCTGTACTTTAGTACAGAGACACTTTAGAGTGTCCTTTAGACACTTCAGAGTTGTTCTTTTTACACTCATTTAAAAATATAACCCAGTTCTCCGAGTCCAGTTACCTTACAACTTTCTCCAGTTGATTAAAGCAATATATTCAAGAGAACAGTAGACTTCGAAGATGCAGCATCCTGGTGGTGTTCATCCTTAAGGGGAAGATTTAACTCCAGGATTTAGGGCTACAGAGCACAGATTTAAGGCAGAGAGCCTGAGCTCCACATGAATATGAGCAGGGTAAATACACCTGTCCATGAAAAAGTTTTACTGCGTTCAGTTTCAAATCCTGGTTAGATGAAACATGGAAAAGAGGAATCCTGAATGAGTTTAAAGTTGAATTGTCTGTTGTGACATTCTTGTTTTAAATCTTGTGTTTAAGCCCAGACACTGCTTAGTTTCACCTGGAAAACATGGGCTACAGTATGAGAATGTAGTCAGACATTAGATAACTTTCCCACTACCTTGATCCAACACCCTCTAGAGTCCACAAAATAAATGGCTCTCTGGCCCACAGCCTGGGAGAGTCCATCAAAAGTTTTTCAAGACATATATTAATTTTCACCAAGCACCCCATTTAATACCGGTCTCTGATGTGTTTCTCCCACAGAACAGCAATAGCATTTACCATCGTAGTCTTAAAGATGATTCCCTGTTGTGAGGAGCAATGCTGCCGTCTAGTTTGAATAATGCTCTCACTTTGGGCCATGGAATTACAGGGAATATTAAGTAATAGGCAGGATTTCAGAGGGCAGAAAATGTGATGGCTGGAGAGCAAGAAGAAAGAAACGTAAGGAAATATTAAGTGAGAGACCTGGCAAAGCACAAGCAGACTGCAAGTCTAGGGAGGGTGCCAACTCCCCTGAGAAATGGGACCATTATTAGAAGGAAGGAGATGAAATTGAGGTAGAAAACAATTACAGGCCAGGAAACACACTCTGACAGTGAGATGCATTAAGCTTAAGGGGAACCTTGAGGAATTCCAGGACTTTAGGACCTTCATAACTATACCTGCTGGGATGGACTGGACAACTTAACTGATTTCTTCCTAGCATATGAGTCCAAACCAATATCTTGGAAATAAAATGGCTGTTTGTCTCCTGTTAGCTTTGGGAAGGAGACGCCAAGAAGATAACAAACCCAACCCTTAGATTCTAGGTGCTATCCAAATTCAAAGTCAGTGACCTGAGGATAGGCAACCCATAGAGTCAGGAGAACAGAAACTGTGACAGAGACTGTTGGGGCAATAAAACAGGAGCTATGGATAACTTTCTGAATGCTACTTCACAGAATCACAGAATCATTCAGGTTGGAAAAGACCCTTGGGATCATTGAGTCCAACTCTCAGCCCGACTCTACAAAGTTCTCCCCTACACCATATCCCCCAACATCTCATCTGAACGACCCTTAAACACACCCAGGGATGGGGACTCCAGCCCCTCCCTGGGCAGCCTGTTCCACTCTCTGACCACTCTTTCTGTGAAAAACTTTTTCCTAATGTCCTAATGTATCTTCTTTCCAAGATACAACATCCTAACAGAGGAAGCGAGCCAGTATATATATGATCCTAATTTTTTTGGAGGCCACTGTGAGTACGTGTACAATGGAGAGTGGCGGGAGCTGAAGTACGATGCTGCATGTGAACATCTGTACTACGGGGACGATGAGAAGTATTTCCGCAAACCTTACAACTTTCACATATACCAATTCCTAGTAAGTTCTTTGGATGGTCAAATTTAGCAATGTTTTCCCAGCTAAAAGCTCAACTTCCTATAAAGGTATCAGGTACATTTTATCATTCACTATAGGCTGTCTTTCAAGCAACCTTTCTCCAGCTGTCCCCAAGACAACAAGCAATCGATGATATAAATGCTGGTTTATGGCACATCAAGGAACTAATGTGCTTTATCACCCAGGCATTGCCACTGTTTACTCTTGCCTAGTCAGAGCCAAGGGAAATGGGTTTTCTCTAAATTCTGCTATTAATGAGCTGTAGAGCTTGCACAAGCCACTTGCCTCTCTAGGGATGAAGCTGGCCATGTGTAAAACAGGAGGAATGCTCCCAATTCAATATCTGAAAGCATTTTAAGTCTATGGCATGGCTACAAGGGACATAAATCCAAATTCTGAGCAAGACAGAAATTCTGAAAGCCACTACCGTGTATCTCAATGTCTATACTCTGTGAGGCCACGTCTGATGTTGGAGACTGAACTAAGTAGAGCAAGGATTCAACCCACATCGTAAGTGGAGGCTTGGCCACACTGTTAAACATTTATTATGCTTTCTGACATGAATGAACAAATGAATGAATGAATGCATGCACATTATTCCAGGGGAATATTGCAGCCACAGGCTTAATGCAAGTGGCCTTTGTGTCCTCCCAGCAGGCGGAGTGCCCTGGGCCCCTTAGTCCCTGGTAGGAACCCGGGCAGACCTACCACATGGACCATGTTTTCTTCTACTCCGTATCTACTGCTAGCAGTGGAAGGACATCTGCAACATGGTCAGGTGCCAAGGAACACCTGAGCATGCCCCATACGCATCTTGATTTAAGAGAGTCTAACCACTGGGGTCTAGAAAGTCATTCATGATTATGTGAAATTTTTTTTTTTTCAGTTTTGGTCATTTAGCTGGCTTTTTACAGAGATGGCAAATAGCACAGCCTGGATTCAGCAAGGCTGCTCAATTCCACATGCCAGCAAAGTAGAGCTGTCAAGGGAAAGGTCACTTCTCTAAAACAGGGGAAACAATGTTTGTTTTCTAGCGTTGCCTTTGCAAGTGGCTGGATCACTGCTGTTGAATTTTTTTCCTAAATAAATTCATCCGGAAGCAGGCTGGAGAGAAAAAAAATTAAGTCCAAATTGTGATGATTTGGCAGAGCCGTAAGGAACTAGAAGGAGAGTTTTATAATGGGAAGTGTCAAACTAGCTTAATGGGTACCATTACCAGCTCTGGCTGTAATAGTACTGCTTTGGGTGGCTAAAGACAAACCTTTCCCCTGCCTGGCAATGGATGAAGCAAAATGCATGGGTTTATCCACACTTCTCACATATTTCCAAGTGGAATGGCACGTGACAATTCTTTATTCCACGTTGACTGAAGTCGATGTCGATGTTGTCAGAGGCTTCAACAGAGGCACCATCAGCTCCTTAAAGAAACAGAGATTAAAAAGGAAGGAATACCTGAAAAATTAATGTCTGCTCCTTTCACTTTAGGCTCACGCTGATTCTGGATTCGCTTTTGAGTTTTATGATGATTCAAAGGATCTGCTTGATGCCCTTAAAAGTGATAAATCCAAAACAATAGGCTTTACCATTGGAATTAGGCCTGAAGAATCACCTTTACAGTTAGAACTGGGCTTCACTTTATCAGGTGGCAAAGGATCCCTGAAGAATTTCACGCAATACACTGCAAAGGTAAAAAAAAGAACAGAATCAGTGATGCATATGCTCCAGTCGTGTCGTCTGTGCGTCGCATGGTCTGGCTGTAACTTATGTCAGTTTATTCTCTCAACTGCATTTTTTAACACATAGTAATTGTACCTTAATTTGCTCGTGTAATTGCAAATGTATGATCATTAGTAATTCTGTTTGTTGTTCTTACTATATTTTAGCAAACAGGGAGTGGGAATAAAATTGAATTACGAAGTACCACAACACATGTCATTTCACCCCATCCTGTTTCATGGCTACATGAAGCACATAAATAAAAAAACGCTTAAAGTGACGACGAGGGAGGAGGAAATATCAAGATGTTGATCAAAACAGTTGTCCTCAGGGAATGATCTCTAGTAGCAAATATATCTTGTTCAAATTAATACAAGCTGCCTCATGATGGGGAAATAGCTACTTTTTATGGGAGGTTAAAATACAGAGCTAAAAAACCAGTACCCAGTATCAGGGTGTATTTCTCACAGTGGGTTTACATCTTGGACTAGCTATGACGACCTTTTCCCAATCTAGTAACATGAGTGCTGGTATTTCCCACATTAACTGTGCCTTCTTTTGCGGCTGCTGACAGAAAACAATAAAGAAGAATTACTTTGATGGTGGTCTGAGTTAAAATGCCCTTAAAAGCTGTTTGAAATGGGCACCATTACAGTATTTACTGTACCCTTGTCTAGACTCACATGATGTTTGCAGCTAAACGATGATCAATTATTGAAGGAATCATTTAAAGGGCTGTTCTGGTTGAACGGGAGCTTTGTCTGAGGCAATGCTAATCTAGAAGAGGATTCATGGATCCGGTGGTATATCCAGGAAATCCTCCCTGCATCAACACCTTCCTGGCTGGGGTATCCCCCCACTGCTGGGCTGGACTGGGCTTGCCTCGAGCCCTTGTCCTGCATCACTGGTCAAGCCTGTGAAAAAATCAAAAGGGAATAAACAGTATAGAAAGGAAACCAGAAAAAAGAAATAGCACTAACGAAGGATGGAGGGGAATCATGTAGAACCTGATTCTGATCGTATTTGTGTGTCAATAAAGAACCCCATAGCATCCAAACCCATGGCTTTGCCTTCCACCACATACAGCACACAAGAAAGAGACACTCTAAAAAAGAAGTACCACCGATCTCATTTAAAACTGGGCTTGTTTTCATGCCTTCAACATACACTGACAGTCAAGAGATTCAGGCTTTCTTCTAAAACCCTAAAGACTAGAAATTACTTTTTTTAAAAAAAGTGAACATTGAGTGGCAGCTCCTCTTTTCTTTATCTGCAGGAGGTTGGATTCATTAGAGGTGTGACGAAGGTGCAGACAGCCCGTTTCAAGATGAGAAGGGACAACATTGTTTTGGATGAAGATGTGCTGCTCTCCTTGCAGGAGCTTCCAGACACCTACAACTATGGCATGTATGCCAAATTCATCAACGACTACGGCACCCATTTCATGACATCTGGCACTATGGGAGGTGTCTTTGAGTACATCGTTGTCATTAACAAGGAGGAAATGAGAAGAAAAGGTTAGAAAATGGCAAGATATTATCTGTTTGCAACTGTCTGCTCTAAACTGGGTATTTCCAACCTGGTGACCACGGGGTGGATCCAACCCACCAGAATAATACATCTGGCTCTGGCTGCTCCTCACAGCCACCCTCTCCCTGGGCCCTGGGAGGGTGGGTACTCATTGGCACCTCTTTGCTGAGCTGGCTGGCACGTCCCATCACGATAGACACATACTCGTCACAAGCCCCAAAATGAACTGTGGGGGTAGGGCAGGGGTACCTGCATGTTGTTCACAAGATGGCACTACTGGCCACATAGCAGGGGATAAGCTTGAGTGTCACAAAATGTGCTTCCTGATCTAATTTCGGAAGAATTCAGGTGAGATTTTGGCAGTTTAGGAAGGAACCTGAGCATCTTTTTCTCCCTTTCTTTCAGTGTCACATTGCTAGACTTCTCTAAACTTCTCCTATTTCTTATACTCTTTGTTCTGGCCATTCTCACGAACGCTCAAGGACTGCAAACTGACCCAGAGTAAAGAAAGATAGCCAGCTCATGTTTTAGCCTCCTAATAGTGAGGGTCTCAATTTTCTGTAAAAGGAAATAGCGCGTTGCACTTGGCAATACCTCTGCCACTTTACTCTGGTTAGTGTCATATCTGAAGACTAACAGACCTGTGTTAGCTCCAGTTCTCAACAAATTAGAGTGTATGAGGCTGGAGAGCCATACCTCTAAATCTCAGTTACATAAAATATCCACTCCAGATGTCCAGAGTGCAAGAACAGCCATTACTGGTGAGCCAAAGCGTAACATTTTTCCTAATCAAAACCATAAGATGCAGAACAATAATATGGTGTTTAGTACACTAACCATACTGTCAAGTTTTGTAAAGGTGTCGACAATGCAATAGATCCCACTTCCCCTAAGGACCATCACCCCACTCTTCTGAGGATAACGCTGCCTTGGTAACTCCAGGCTGGACATTCATGCAAAAGAAAATTGCGATCTTGGACAACAGGTGCAAATTGCTGTAATTTCATTAATTTCCATGGTTCTGCCCCAAATTTTGCCTCTATTCTGAAAGTATTTGATACCATCAGCACTAGGATAACTATACACTCCATATTGAGTGTCAACCATGCCAATTTTTCCACAAGAAATTACTGACTGCGAGAATTTTCATCAAGTTCCTGAACTACTAATGTTTGGAAACACGATACTTACTCACTTTGAAGAGCGAGTGATATAGAAGCGAACAAGATCTTGGCAAGCAAGTCTTCAGGAAGCAGACTGCCAATTTCAGAGGAAGAATGAATCAAGAGCATGTGGAGGGAGGCTATTTTTTTGCCTTATCTTGTGCTTGCTGTATGTATAAGGAGGAGATTTACTGCCATGAGATGCCTTATCATAGGAAAGAAGGATGCTGAAGTTCAGCAAAAGACAAAAATGTGCCCCAGTGGAGATGTAATTTTCATTCTAATATAGCACACTTCTGTAATATTTTCATCTAAGCCAGACTCTGCTAGGAAGTCCATGTTTCCCAAGTCAGCACTGTGCTACGTCACACAACACAGACCCAGAAGGTCCCACCTGCAGTGGCTGATATACCACCGGCTAAAAGAATATAGTGAAAAAAAAAAAAAAAGATTTTTTCTAATGGCAATCACAGCCATGCTCGAAGGCTGTGTTTGCAAAGGGATTACCTGCCTTCCCTGAGGAATGGCCAGGATCAGGATATAAGCACTCAAGTCTTAAAATTAGAGCTTCATAAGATGAGTTTGAGGCTCTGCAGATACCTGCAGATGTACTGCTGAGTCCCATCAGGGCTGAGCGGCATGGCACCTGCTTTAGACTAACCACTGCCTCCTGAGAGCCCGCCTAGCCCACAAGGCTACGTGTTAAATGCTCTGGAAGAGAAAACACTCCTTTTTTATAGACCAGTGACTAAAGCACATGCCCAGGAAAAAGATTTCTAGGCCGAGTCCTTCCTAAATGAGAGACAGCTTGAGCAGTTGCTGAGCATCTAGCTAGACATAGGCATGAGCTGGACTTTAAGCATCTAGGAAACCTGAATTTTGAAAATGAAGTCACCTTCTGGGTTTAGATACCCAGGAACAGACTGCAAGTCACCAGTGCAGAGCTTAGGACTGCCGTTTTGCTGCCAGACCCATTTCTAGCTTTCAGGCTGCAAGGGCTTGTATTGGATGTGGTCATGGGTGAAATAAATACATACGTCAGAATGAGGTCCCTTGTCGCTCTGCCATCAATATTTTTCATTACTTGTTCTTAAAATAGATTGTTATGGTTCTATTATTTAGCAGAAAACAGTATAATGTGTTCACACATTACAAGAACATTTATGGGAGAAACATTATGCAGAGTAAATTAGAAAGAGTCTTCATATATTCTGATTAATTCAAAACGCAGCAGCAGTAAATCTTATCACTCGAGCACATGTAGCTATCACAAATTATATCATATAAAAAAACCTATCAGGGCTCCCCCCTCAAGTGCCAATATTTTCTGTGGCCACCCTTTTGCGATGATAACCACTTTTAATTTATCAAGACCCGATTTTGCTGTAACCAATAGCGAATTGTATTGACAGACCCTCGCTGAACATAATTACCTAACGGGAACCATGGCAAATCAATTAATCAGGGTGTTCCTCAAGTTTAATTTTATGGCACTCCAACACCAAGATAAGCAATCGCTCATGTTGCTTTGGGTGAATGAACTTTACCCACTGTGTTTACAACTGTTGAACAGTTCAGTACAACTAATTGAGTGCTACATATTTAATCTTTCTCAAGGGTCCAGTTTTGCAACGGGATGTAATTCCCCCTGAAGTCTTGAGCACGCTTCAGCTCTCACCAGTTTGAATCCGGCACTTGTAGCCTCTTTCTCAGGATGCTGAGCACCTCCGCTGGTTGCAACCCACCAAGCCAACGAGCAGATCCATGCCCCACGCGGCTCCAGCGCGTCTCTCCTTCAGGGTGTGCAGAAGGGAACAAAACAAGAGCGATGGGTGTTCCACCAGTATTTTAAACACAAGTAAAACAAGACCCTGCTCCCAGTGCTGGGGTGAGGCAGTTCAGCAGACAACGCTCAGCCAGGGGTTCAATCTTTAGACCATTAAGCCATGATGCACAAATCCCGCTGACCTCTGTGCCTCCCTTTCAATACCGTGGTATTGATTGCCAGGCTGCTTTGTAAAACACTTTAAGGGTCTCTGACAAAAAAGAGCAATATAAAAGTTACCTATTACTTGCAATACCCATATTTATTGAAATCAATGGATTTTTTAACTATTAAAGAAGACGGCCTTATATTTGCAGTACACTGACATGTGTACATAAAACCAGGCTCTATGAAATATGCGCATTGCTTACCTTGGTGAAACCACCTCATTAGTTCCCTTCTCCCCTCTGCAGTTGCTTCATGGGTCTCCAGTTACATATTTTCATGATGTATGTGGCGGTGCTGGCCGCAGCAGCCCAGCAGCAGGCAGTAAGGCTTTGGCAGCTCTCAGCAGACAGGCCTTTTGCAAGTTGCTACTTAGGGCGCTACTTAAGCCCCTAATACGTGGGTCAGATCCTGAGTTTAGGAAAATTAGTGAGGATCTACTAATTTCAGCTGCTGTTCCCAGCTTTACCCTAGTTATGAGTTAGTCTGTAAAAATTAATGTTTTATTTTTAAATAGATCAAACAAGGAAATACATGCCTGAAGCCTTGTGTTAAGATCTTTACTTTCTTCTAATACTTTCTAAGGAAACAATTTTTACAGTAGGGACATTTCCCCGTTCACTTATTATGTGACAGACCCAATATACACCAATAAAATATTGGCTTTTCCCCTGCGAGACTAAAGGCTGTTCTCTGCTCTGAATAGCTCTTGACTTTGAAAAAAATGGGCCATGCAAATAACTGGATATTTTCTTCATTGATAGAAAAAAACCAAGTAGGAAAACAAACACCCTTCCACTCAGAAGGAGTCGCTGATTTTACCGGTTTCCTTTCTGTTTTGCAGACATCAGCGCTGAGGAGATAAGTGCCTGTATTGGCAGGTCAATTGGCCTTACAGTCAGCGAGAGTAAACTGCATTTGGAAGCATCTGTGACATCCTCTGACTGTGCAAAGAAAGGATTTTTGAAAACTGGTATGACAGCAGGGCACACGTCTGTTAAGGCATCTTGAGTCACTTCTCTTGGGCACTTGAGCATCGAGATTCAAGTAGGGTCTCACAAGGGTATGAAGGCGGGAGCTCTGGGGCCATCCCCAGCCATGACTCAGGCCCAGTCGTGGGACTAAAGCAACTTTGGGTCCAAGTCTCCAGGAGTAGCAACTGCTATTGAAAGAGCAAGAATTAAGGTAGCAATACCTGGATTAGAAACGTGAGTGAATAGAGGCAGTGGGGTGGCTGGAAAGCTGCAGTCCCTATAGCCACCACAGACCGGGCATGCATAACAAGGGCAACATGGCAACTATTAAGTGAAAACTGACTATAGAAAGTACTCAAAGAGGCTAGGAAGCCCCACATTTGTAAATCACTTAACCAGCTAGAGACAGCATGATCTGCTGCCCACGTGCTAATGAGAAACCAAGGCTGGAGGTGTTCAGGCTCTTCAGGTATCACCACCCTGGAGCATTTGGGATGCTCGACTCGTCCCCAGCTGCCTTGTGATAATGTTGCAGGGCTCGCCCTGCGAGGAGGGGATGCTGAGCTCCCATCGATTTCAGGAGGCAGCATCAGTGATAGTCCCTTGCACAATTGATCTCACTTCCATTAAGCAGCTTCTAGTATATGTGTGGAAACAGTAACTAAATAATATGGGTGTAATTCAACTTTTCAGATGCTGAGAGCAACAGTGCTATTGTGGAAGATATTATTCCCCGGATTAGAGGCGGAGATACCAGTTACAGCGGAGGGCTCTTAAACAGTTGGGATGGCAATATGTACCGTCACTGGGGAAGATCATTAAAATATAATCCTGCTGTTATTGATTTTGAGGTAAGGCTTTTCTGCAGTTGAAGAAACTCTGCCGCTATAAGGAATGAAAGTGTAGTCGAGCAGATCATTTTGTATTTTTATTGTGATCCCATCACAGAACAAGATTAAATGTAATGGGCCACTGATCTGGTAACCTCTTATTCATTTCACAATGGGGAGTACATCTCCCACCGACTGCATCCTCAGGGAGACGGACAAGGAGCTTAATGCTGGATTAGTGCTGAGTTAAGTTTCTGATGTGTCCCCAAACAGCATTCTGATGAATGGCTCTCTGCAGTTGCATTCATCCCTATTATTCTCCCCGACGCTGTCTGCCCTCCTGTATAAGCAGGGCACTCGCAGGGGGCTGGGGAAGGAGTCTTGCCCCCATGCCAGCAAAGGCTCTGCATAGACTCCCCCTGCTTTTCACCTGCCTTCAGACCATGGTGGGTATAGCTGTGAGTGCTTTCAGTTTTTAGAGCAGGGGGCTCCTGGCTGCTTTGTGAGGCAGGTCCTGTCTTTCTCTGTGATCCAAAAGTGGGTCTGTGGCCATAAAAATCAGCCAAACTCTACTCCTCTCTTTTATCGGATGCCCCGTAAAATGGATCACTGAAGCATCCTGCAGGGCTTCAGAGATGGGGAGGAGATGGGTGCAAGAGGAGTGGATGGAAAGGGAGAGAAGAAGAGCAACCCTACGAACAAATAATGCAGGGCCAGAGACCGCAGAGGCATGAGGAGCTGGGCACAACTCCGGGGCTGTGGTCAGGAGAACCACTTCTACCCCGAGATGCTACAACTGCCGGTCTGCTCCAGGAGTGCAGCTGTGAGATCTGGGGGGAAGGACCTTGGTCATGGCAGGGACGTGCTGCCACCTCCATTCCTCTCATCTTCCTTTGAAGCACACCCACTCCTGGCTCTGACAGAAGGCGGGAGAAGGGAAAACGGAATCAGGAATTATCTGTCTTATTGGCAGGGCAAGAGGGACTCTGAAAACCTTCCTGGGCAGCACCCTGGCAGCAGAAAGCCCCAATAATGTAGAAGTGCTTTCAGTTCTAGCTGCAATTTATTCACCTTTCTGCACAAGTTTCCACCAATTCTGGGCAGAATTTATTGCAATTTTCCAGTAAACTATGTGCTGACCTCTCTGTTGGCTGCTCCAGAGCTCAGCAGTCACTGTGCAACCGGAGCTGCCGATAAGCACTCATGTCCACTTCAGCAGCTCTTATCTGCAGCTCCCTATTGTTTGTTAAACAGGCTTGTGCAAATTTGTCTAAGAGCTCTTCCCAAATCCTGGCTGATCCTCCCCACAAATTGCTCTCAGTGCACCTTGTGCAATGAGACAATGCCCAGTTCTCTGAAACCAATTCCCACCAATTCCCAACCAGGACGCACTACATACACACAGACGTGTGGATGGACCAATGTGTCCTCAGACCAGCCCTAAGCTTTTAGCTTTAATATTCAGTCGAATATTAATATTCAGTTGGGCAAGTTATAATTACAGCTGCCCACACTGGGCTATTTTTGCTGGTATATAGGAACTGGATTTTGCTACTGGAAATATTAAAAGCATGTTATGGCCTTAAAGCTGTAGATGGCTCGGTATCATTTTGCTGCACCAAAGGATAAAATGTAGGAAGGTAAAATTCTCCATGCTCAGCATTTACTGGATGGTTCACCATATGGTCACTATTAGTGGTAAATTGGCAAATGTTTTGATGACACCCACTGTCCAAAGCTCTTAACAAAACATTTTGGTTTAAAAAGGGAAAAAGCATGCAAGAATCCCTGAGACTGTGACAGCACTAAGAAATCAATAATAATAATAAAAAAAGGCTTATTGGAGTGTTTTAATTTATCCTTTGAATCGGGACTGAAGCTCCAAAGCATGTTCAGAAAAGCCAATCCTGCACAAACCTGTAAGATGAGGAGGGTTTTGGAATGGTGGTTTCTCACTGGAGCCCTTCAGTCGTGGTAACGCATCTGCATGATGTGCATGGAGCTGTCGAGGAAGACAAATGAGTTTTCTGAGCCCCGAGTTTATCCAGCAATGTCCCAGCTCTCTGACTGCCGCGTGGTAGCACCTCACTTGACGGCCAGCTGAAATTCTCTCCACGCTATTCATCTCCCTCTTCCGCAGCTGCAGCCCATCCATGAAATTCTCCGCAGAAGCAACCTTGGCAACACGGAAACCAAACGGCAAAACCTGAAACGGGCTTTGGACGATTACCTGTTGGAGTTCAACGCCTGCCGCTGTGGACCGTGCCAGAACAACGGGGAACCCATTTTGGTAGGAGACACGTGTTTCTGCCAGTGTCGAGCAGGTTACAGAGGCCCCGCCTGCGAGCAGACTCAGCGCCAAGGTAAGACCCCGGCGTGCACCCGCAGCATGGGAGGGTGAACGGCAGCAAAGCGACAGGGTATTCCCCTCCACAGGATTAACCAACAGCTCTTTGCACCCATGCATCCATCAAGCCATTGCTTCTGTATCGCTTTTGGTGTTACACTATCCTGAGCAGCCCTGCAAGAGACTTAAATCAGCAACTCAGGAGATTATTATAAACAAATTAGTGGAAATGAGGATGTGTTTGAGACTTTCTGACATGCTGCAAAGAGCTGGGCTGGGGCGTGGTGGCAGCACCCTGGCAAAGCACCAAAAATGCTGTTTTAGTAAAAAATAGCCATATTGCCAAATTCCCCACCCCACCATAGGGAAATATTTTAACTAGAGGGCGGTATCTATTTTGCTGGAGCAAAAAAATGTGTTTTTCCAAAGTGACAGGCTTTTATTTATGTTTTCCTTATTACTTTATATACTATCCTAAAATATTAAATGGGTGGCAAGAAAAGTCAACCTTGGAACATGCTTTTTTATTTCAAAAAAATGTCAGTTCTCTCTGGATATTTTTGTCCTGATTTGTGATGACAAAAAAATCCAAATCTCAGCACATGAAGCTGGCAGAAAAATCCATCTTCAGAGCAGTTCTACCAGGCAGAGCTCCAGGCCTTCAACCATGTGCTCATAACTAGGGTCTCACCACTAGAAAATCAAAGCTGTGATGAGATAAGGAGTTAGAGCAGATCTGGGTAGATGGTTCATTAAGCTGGACTCAAAAGCGTTGCTTCGGTGACTGAAAAGTGGGTTTCTTTAAAAATCTCGGGTTGAGTTGTCTCCAAATCCAAGGAATATGCCTTAGATGAGGAGCTTGGAAGGCTCAGGACCTGGCCCCAATGCAGCCCAACAAACCGGCCAGTCCTGTGCTCCCTGCTTTTAGCAACAGTGGGGACAGACACATTTCCAAGTCATGGGCAATTTTTGGTTTCAAACTTTTAGTTCCAAAACTAATTTAAGACTAAACCCGTTTTATTTTTTAAAGCATGATGTTTCAGGAGACGGGAAACCCAGCTCTCCACTCAGCACTAAGAGCACACACATCCATTTGTGCTGTCTGGATTAATAAAGTGCCCAAGCCAGGCATGAAGGCTAGTTGAGTAAATAAAAAACGACAGTAAATGACAGCCATCAAACATTCCCATCATTCAGGAGCGCCGCCATAATCCATAGTATCGAACGCTCCTGACAAGTCAAGTCTGTACTGTAATGAAAAAGCCTTGAAATGACCCATCTCCAAAGGGATGGGCAGACTTTTCCAAACACCTCCACAACGTTACGAGACTTTTGTCCCTCTGCTTTGGTCAGAGGTGAGAAAGTTAGTGCAGAGAGAGCCGTCAGCTGCCCTTTGGGAAAGGAAAGCCAAGTTGCAGCCTTTCAACGAGCAGAGCAGAAAAAGAAACAGCTATTGATGTCTGAAGGTGATGCTGCTTCATCTCCCCTGGCTCCAAAGCACCTTGATCTCAACAGCCATCCGTGTGCTGGGCAAGGCTTGGATGGAGCAGGGAGTCCTGCTCACAGCAGAGGTTACTGCCAGAGCCAAAATCACAAACTGCTGGTGGCATTCAGCTCAGCCTTCTTCCCCTGCTCCCCCACAAAGTCAGGCTGTCTGTAGCACTTCAGACCTGAATACTTTTTTTTTTTTTCCTCCTCTTTTGCTTTTTTTAATGGGTTTACAGGCGGTGAGACGAACGGGCGCTGGAGCTGCTGGTCCCAGTGGGGTCCCTGCCAGTCGGGCACCGCGCAGCGCAGCCGGCGGTGCAACAACCCGGCCCCGCAGCGAGGTGGGGAGCCCTGCACGGGCAGGGGTGTGCAGAGCAAAGCCTGCTGAACGCCCACATCGCTCCCCACAGGTATGTGGTCAAGAGCAGTTTGGAGTCTGTGCTGGGCTATAAATACTCCGGGCATAATCCTGCAACAGAATCACGCTGGGGAGAGATAATTGTTAAGTATTGCATTGCCATATATATGGAGATGTGCTGGATTCACTGCATTAAACCTGACTGCTGTCCAGACCAATTGCTCTGCCTGGTTGAACGCACGCCTGGCTGCCCCCTCACCCCACAAGATGTGATAGGAGCCCCACCAGTTCACACCAGCATGGCTGGGATACGGGAGACAGTGGAGAATCCACACAGGTGGCTTTGCTGCTGGGTGACCGTGGGGCTACAACATGTCATGAAATAAATTTACTGGAAGTGTTTACATAAGTAAGCTTGACTCGCAGAAATTTTTATATTTGCCTTTGAAAAACACATTAAAAGCTCACAATCCTTGCATTTTTACGCAGTTGGTATTGACATATGTACCACAAAACTTTTCTAAGTTGGCACTGTCAGATTTTTAAGTCCAGCATATTGGCCAGGGCTGCATTTGCAGCAAAGCCATATGCTGCTCTGCATGGGAGAAGGCTTAAGTCTAAAGATGCTGAAGCATCATTGCAATACACAAGCCCAAACTGATGAAGAATCTTAAATACATAATAAATAAATAAATAGGCTCGAACACAACCATTCAGCAGAATAGCAAAGGCTACTCCTCTTTAAGATCAGTGATGAACTGACTGTTAGCACACAGGCGTTTTATCTCCCAGGCACCCAGAGCTGGAGAAGATGCTAACGGGCTGCTTGATTTAAGAGGCTTTTTTGAATGTGAGACGTAAATCTCAGCACAAGAATACACACAGTATTGAACTGTGTCCAGAGACCACAGCAAGAGCCCGCAGCTCCCTCTTCTTAATGAACTGCCACAAAAACCTGGGGTGGACGGAAGGCAAATGGCACTTTATTTTACTGTGCTTTTCATTACAAGGAAAGGAGGGAAAAAAAAAAAAAAAAAAAAAAAAAAAAAAAAAATTATGAAAAGCAACAACAGCAACAAAACCACAAAGCACAAAGGAGCACTTCTATATACATTTGAATGGAAAAAGTGAGTAGAAAGGAATCATGGTTTAGTGAAAGAAATTGCTCAGCTATAGCTCTGGTTCTTGGAAATGCTTGTTTTTCAACAGCATGTCAGTGGTGATTTAGAGTCTGACACTTAGCTGATGTAAATCAGTGTCGCTCCTTTGCCGCAGCTGATTTATGCTACTTGAAGATCTGGCCCCATATTTTCTTTTGTGTGCATGTTTGCTAAAGGACAATTTTTTCACCACTTCTCTTTTGCTTGAAAATGAAACTATTGGCTGTTTTTGTATAAGAAGACCACAAACCATGTCATCTTGAACACTGAGATGTAACTGTTCTGTGAAAAAATCCCTCTGAGGCACGGTAAAGCTGCGGCCTTTTTGCCAACTTTGCTTTTCCAGGTAAAGGTGCTATTCACTCAGAGATGAATTTGCTCCCAAGGGCTTGAATCTGACGTGTTCCACGTTGGGGAAATGCAGCAGCATGAACCACCCATACATCAGTATGAATCAGACATCCCAAAGGAATGTGAAATGTAGGATCAAAACAAGTTTTCCTACCAACGGTTTTATCACCGCTGTTTGGTGTTGGGCTGGCAGGTTATGTAGCAACAGGAGACAGTGCTCTTACACCAAGGACCAGCTTGGGTCGTAGGCAATTCTTACCTTTACACTGACTGCTTAGGACTCAGGAAAATGCATGAAAATAAATGAGTATAATCACATTAGTTAGAAAGCCAACTATGCTTCTTTTGTGACCAGAGGGAAGAAATTAATGAAGAGAAAGATCTGATGCCTTGGAGGCAGAGGAGGGATGAGGCCTGCAGGAAAACAACCTGCATCCTCAGCTTTTAGAGCCATTTCGAGGATAGATCACAGGCTGGAGAACCAGAAAGAAAAAAAGAACAAATCCAAGTGATTAAAGAAACTGCATGTGAAGCACCACCACGAAGCACATATAAATAAGGGCAAAAGAGCTGGGATTTGCCTGCAGTTGCTCATTCTCCACTTTGAACATTGCAATGTTGGAGCACAGAGATGAAAGCGAGGATACATGTGGGGCACAGCTCATCGTTCACCCTGCAACCCAGGGCGATGAAATACAAACCCAAGGGTTTCCTTCAAATGCCAAAGGCAGCTCAGCAGCAGCCCCTCTCCTCCCCCTCCAGTCCCCGCTGCATCCAGGGCTCAGACATCCACACGGCTGAAAACTCGGAAGCAGCCAAGTTGAAGTCAAAAGAAAGGAAGAAGTTGCCTGTAAGGTCTGGAAAAAAAAAAAAAAAAAAAAAAAGATTATGAGCAATTACACATTTACAGTGCCAATCAAAAAAGCTAATATATCTCATGCTGAAGTGGTCAGCATGAGAGTTGTGCCAGATGAGATAAGCAGAAAAAAAATTGTACGTTTCTAAAACGAAAAGCTTAGAGGGTACAATAAAATACTGCAGTTCCACCCTGGGTTTAATGAATGGATTTTCCCCTCTTGCACACTGACATACATTTGATATAGTTATTTATCCTATATATTTCTTGTGGCATATTTCCCAGGAGACCTTGTTTATCTCACTCATAAGTACATGATGGATGTATGGTGCTTTGGATAAATGGTATCACAATCAGATATTTTTATGGATATAGGCAAACTGGGTTATTAACAAAGGAAGGGCAGAGAGGAACCAGTACGCAAAAGAAAATAGCAAATGATTGATGACAATACACCTGAGGTTGCAAGGTGCAGACTCCAGATAACCAGCTAACAGCAGAGTAGATAAGGGCAGCGCTTGAGACAGAGCTGTTCTCTACCTTGGGGTCAATGTCACACCGACTATCCATGTGCCTGTGTCCCTCTGAGCCTGTGATTTTAGAGCAGGCAAAGATTCCTCAGCAGGAGAAGCTCAAAAATGATCCCCTTCATTTTTATGCAGTGTAATGCAGAGGCACAGGAAGATACAATTTAATTGTACCCCCCAAAAAAATGAAACAAAAGAAATGCAAGATTTCTGGGGAGTTTGGGGAGGGACTGGCATCTCTTATGCTGTGCTATCATGCCCAACACAGCAGGACTCTTGGTGCTGCATTTCAAATAAGTAAAAAATATGTTTGTAATGGTAGTAATTAATGTCTCCATCTCTAGTTTTGTTGATTTACAGAAGCAGGGC